CTTGTTGAACACCAGAAAATTCACACTGGATTAAGGCCGTATGACTGTGGCCAGTGTGGAAAATCGTTTATCCAAAAGTCTGGCCTCATTCAACACCAGGTGGTTCACACTGGAGAAAGACCTTATGAGTGTGGCAAATGTGGGAAATCCTTTACACAACACTCTGGCCTCATTCTCCACCGAAAATCTCACACTGTGGAGAGGCCCCATTAAGAGAGCAAATGTGGAAAAGGCTTCAGCCCAAGGTCTAGCATTCTTTAGCTCCTGAAAGTCCACACTTGAGAAAGTTCTTTCTTCAGTATTATGGAACTACAGGGCCTTTGTGTGGGAGCCATCTGCCTGAAGTTGAACCTTATACTACTTGTAAATCTCCAGACAGGTGAGATTCCCCATGAGGTCCAGGTGTGTGTGAGGCTTACAGGAGCTGCTGCATGTTCTAAACTGCTTGAGACCTTTGCCACAGTTAAATCACTGCCAGTTTCTCTGGTAGAAGCCGTCTCCCCTCTACCACCTTGCACAGTGGGCATCGGTCACCCTGATGTGCTAAGGCACAGCCAGCTTCTGTGCCCATTCCCTGGAGGAAATCTTGAGCAGTCTGAGCCTTTAGGGGGAATTCATTACTCTTTTTAACTGATAAAAGCATATATCTATCCCAGTTTTGGCCAGGTGGATCCAGCCGGGGTTCTGCTAGAGGCTTATGTGGAAGGCTTCCCTTCATGGAAATTCTTGGTCTCACATGACACTTGGTAACTTTTCCAGCCTCCAAGTCATCACTAGTAACTTGCTGCCTCACATTGCTCTAGTTTGTGCGCTAATAAAGGCCTTATTGTTAAAGCTACCTGTAATCTTGGTGTTTTGTCTACTGTGTGGGGTGACTGGAAAACAGATTTGGGCTGTTTTTATGAATGAATGCACAGCTTGTGGGGGGCCTAACTTTGGGGGTTTCTGCAGGAAAAGTTAAAAATGACAGAGTAGTTCTGGTTTGGGTTGAATTTGCCTTGGTGCCCAAGACCTAGGGAACAACACAGGACTTTGTGGTTCTAATTTGTGCCCCCGATGCTTCTATTTTTGGTGAAACCCAAAGCCACCCTGAGGAGGGTATAGTTGTTAAGACAAACTCCAATGCTTCTGGGGATAGGTTTTTCCCATGTTCTCCAAAGGAGCCATATGCCCTGATGTCCATAGTTCCACAGACGGTGTCACTCATAAGCCGATGGGAACGAAGCATGAGCCATAATCGGTACAAAAATATTGGGCATGATTAATATAGAGTGGAAGAGGTTGTAGCAAAACAAACGAGCCTCTGGTAAAAGTGCATGTACACAGCTAGTGACTGGCTGCATCTTCATTTATTTCCATGGCAAACAATCACACAATCTCCGTGTACTAAGTATGACAGTGCAGGCATAGCCTGGCTTGGATGGAACAGCTTCATCCTGCCGTTGTGATGATGGGCCGAGTTGGTTTAGAGCATGGAGCCAGGTGCACACCTTGGCATAACCTGGAGGCTCAGATAGGATGGTTCAGTGTGCGTGCAGGAGGACACATCATGGGGAGATAATTAGAGGTAGCCCAGGTAGCAGAAGCTTTGACTCAAAAATGGCATCCTCCTTCAGAGGCTTTTCTCTCTGCCACAGTTACACTGTGTCCAGAGGCAGAGTCCCTCTCTCCCTCGTGCCCCAGATGAACTCCACCCTCAGAAGTCCTGGGTCTCTCTACCTTTCCCAGGGACCAAACAATAGGTTCTAATACCACTTAGCATAATGTTTTCAAGGTTCATCCATATTGTGGCATATATCAGGGTTTCACTCCTTTTATGGCTGAATACCCTTCCTTTCTATGGATGTACTGAAATTTTTTTATCCATTCATCTGTCCATGGACACTTGGGTTGTTGCCACATTTTGGCTACTGTAATAATGGTGCCATGAACATTGTTTTACAAGTATCTGAGTCCCTGCTTTCAATTCTTTAAGGTATAGCTAGGAGAACTGCTGGGTTAGATGGCAATTCTGTTAATTTTTTGAGGAACTTCTAAACTGTTTTTCACAGCAACTTCACCATATTACATTCCTGTCAACAATATATAAGGGTTCTAATTTCTCCACACCCTCCTCAACACATGTTATTTTCCATTTAAAAAAAAATTATAGCCATTTTAGCACATACAAAGTGATAGCTCATTGTAATTTTTTTTTATTTTTTATTTTTTGAGACAGAATCTCACTCTGTCACGCAGGCTCGAGTGCAATGGCACAATGTAGCTCACTGCAACCTCCAATTCCTGAGCTCAAGTGATCCTCCTGCCTCAGCCTCCTGAGCAGCTGGGAATACAGGCACATGCCACCACATCCAGCTAATTTTTTCTATTTTTTGTAGAGACAGGGTCTCGCTCTTGCTTAGGCTGGTCTTGAACTCCTGACCTCAAGCGATCCTCCTGCCTTAGCCTCCCAGAGTGCTAGGATTACAGGAATGAGCCACAGTGCCCAGCCTCTCATTGTAATTTTGATTTGAATACCCCTAACGCCTAATGATATTGACATCTTCGTAATTTACTTCTGCTGTTTTTGATGTTCCCTTTACTCATTTATTGTCCTCTATCCTAACCTTCTGTCAGTGTACTAACATGGACTGACACACGCTCTTAAAAGGAAAACTCTCCTGCCTCTATAACCTTCTTAAAGGTCTTTTGCATTTCCCTTCTTTCCAGGGCTCCTTTTCTCCACTGTCCCTCCCAGTCAGGCTTGCAGCCCAGATGTTAAATCCCTTCCCCCATAGTCTCTTGTCCATTCCTCAGATGAAGTCAGGGAAATCCACTTTCTTGCAAATTCCATAAAGCAAAATAAATCTCCAACATGAAATGGACGCATGCTATTTGAAGTAGAGTTAATATATAATATGTGACCTGAGCCTGTCATTTTGAGATTTTTGTCCTTACTCAGCTCACAAAATAATTGTCCTAACTCAAGGAAGTCTCTTTCTAGTAGGGGCTTCTCCTGCTTCAAATAAGATGTTCTTCCTACATTTAAACAGGTTTGAGGTTTCATGTTGTACTCTGTGGATTTCCAATTTCCTCAGGGCTCTGATCTGTGGAGGCTGCTGGAATTCTTGTGTCTGTCAGAAATTGGGATATGCATAGAGAAGTAGCCTCAGAAATGTGCGTGGGGGTCACCAGGCTGTTTGCCGGAAAACTGAGCTATGCCTGTGCAGAGTGAGATTCCTCAAGGCTCGGCAGACAAGAGCTGCAGGGCTGAGAACTCTCTGGAGTTTGCATGGGCTACACAGTCTGCGTGATAGCAAAATCCTGAGGAACCAGAGGGGAGACACCTCCCTGGACAGTCTGGGCTGTCCGTGGAGGCCGCAGAAAGGATCCACCTTAGCAGTAACGCCATCACCTACTACACATGCTCTGTCCGGAGACGGGCGGTGGCAGCAGCTTGTGGGGTCAGAAGGAATTGTGGGCATCGATGACCCCCAGCTGCCTGCATTCAGGCTGCCACCCCACCGTCTTATCCTATAAGGGCTTCTTACCCTCTGAACTCTCTTCAAAGAATTTTCAACTTTCTCTTGCCTCATTGACTCTAGATCTCCTGCTAGTGTTTACGCCGGAAGGATTCACCAGGGCTTTGGGCTGCTTTCCCAGACACCTAGTTTCTGAAGGAACCTGGGCCACAGCTAGGCTTTCTGGTCCGCAGCGGGGCCTTGCTCGGAAGGACTCAGGCCCAGGACGCACGTCTGGCCGGTCCTCCATGCGCCCCACGTGGGATTGGGGGTTCAATCCGGTTCTCCCTCTTCCCCGCGGGAATCTGGCCGGTTCTTTTCCTCTGCTGACCCACGTGCTTCCAGGCAGCTGGCTCAGGAGCACCGGTCCTGCCAAGGCAGCGTGGGCGGGCTCCGGGAGCCGGTGGTGCCGGCGGCTGGCGATGGCTCGGGCAAGGGGACAGTGAGGCGCAGGGCTCAGGAACACACCGGCAGCGCATCCACAGCTTCGCGGACGCCTCTTAGGACACTCCTCTCGGGGCCAAGTCCCCGGGGCCGCCCATCGCCTGCACCCCCTTCGCCGCAGCGACCGGATCCCGACTCCCACTCGCGGCCTCAGGGCGTGGCGCGGGCTGCACCCGGGATCTGCACCGTCAGCCTCTCCCCGCCGGGCTCGCCGGCCCTCTCGCGTCCCCACCGCCCGCCCCCGAGGTCCGCACAGCCCCGGCCCCAGCCCCGCGCCCGCCGCCCTCCGGCTTCAGTCCCAGCCTGTGCGAGCGACGCCCGGGGAGGCGCGGACGGTCCCGCCAGGACGCGACACGACGGGCGGCGAGCCCGACCCGGGGCTTCTGGAGCTGGTCCCCGGCCTGGACGTCGGGGGTCGGGGAGCGGCTCCGAGACTCGGGAGGGGCCGCGGGAGGACGCTCTGCCGGGCGCTGTTGGGCCCCCGCGCGACCCAGTCCCCGTCCCGGGCGTCTCCGCGTCGCCACGACGACCCGACCGGTGCCCGCCGGCGGAGGGGGCCCCTGTGGGGCTCGAGCCGCCCCTGTGAGCCCCGGGCCCGAGGCCGCCCGGCCCGGACTCTCCTCCCGTCCCTGACGGGAACCAGGGCAGCGCCCGCCGGACTCCGCCGCCTCAGCCGCGGGCGCGAGGAGAGCAGCAGGCGAGGCTCCCTCGGCTCCGTCGCTTCGAGTCCGGGCGCCCCTGGGGGTGGCGTCTCCACGTGGGTCCGCAGCCTTTGGGGCGGTTGCGTCACTTCTGGGAGCGTCTGACCAGCGTCCCTCAGACCATCACTCTGGTGGCCAGCGGCAGACAAGCCCCCCCCCCGAAATCTGCCCTTTAAAAAGCAGCCAAGCCCCACGGCACTCGGCTCCGCCGTTTCCCGCGCCCCCCGCGGGGCTTTGTTTCGCGAGAGTCGGCCGCGGCATCCTTTCCCGCCGCCGGGACGCGGAACTACATTTCCCAGAAGACTCTGCGCAGCGGCAGAGCCGCTCAGCCAATGAGCGCTCGGAAAAGGGTCGTTTCCGCGTTTGGAGCCCAGGGTCGGGGCAGCGCTCGAGTGGGGTCATTTCAGCCCCGCGCGGGTCCGCGCTGCCGGAGCGGGGAGCGCTTTGTTCGGCCGCAGGGACGGAGCCGGAGGGCGCGGGAAAGAGTCCTCCGCTGCACGGCGGCGCCCGGGTCCCCGCGAGGGTCGCCGCAGCTCCTGCGCCGAGTCGCCCACAGACCGATGGCGGCGGCCACGCTGAGGGACCCGGCAAAGGCAAGTGCTGCGGGCCTCGCTCGCCCTCACCTCACCCAAACTCTAAAGCCGCGGTGAGGGGGACCTTCTCGGGGCTCCATACTCGGGATCCCCGAGTCCGGTGCAGCGGGGCCTCGTGGGTGGGGTCCCTATTTCCAGAGTCAGTGTGATGAGGTCTGGGAGTGTGACGGGCAGAGGGACCGGCGTAATGTAAATCGTGGCGACTGAGTCAGGGGCATTCACGCTTGGAATGGCGAAGCGAGTTTTACCTTCGTTCTCAGGACGCCGGGAGCCACGCAGGGTCGTGCGCAGAAGAGGCAGTTGGTCAGAGTTAAGCTTTTCAATGTTTTCCGAAAGCTGCTCGAAGTTAGAACAGTCTAGAACGGAGAACACTGAGGCACAGGGAGATCGAGTCCTTGTGCGAGGTCCCACAGCTGCTGAGAGTTTGCAGCGCTGAGGACTGGAACACTGAGGCTCAGAAATAACGCAGGCATCGCCAGGTCACCTGGCTCCGGCATGGACAGGGCTACGGGGATGCCTCAATCCGTGGAGCCCTGCCATGGTCACGTGCCTCTCATGGCCTTCCTCTTCCCACAGGTTCCCAAGACTACAGAAGCACATATGGACCTCACAAAGGTGAGTGGAGCGTGTCCCAGGCTCTCACTAGTCCTGACCCCATCCTGCGGTTTTTTTCTTGGATCTCTTTTACCCCTCGTCTAGTCCTTGGGCCTAAGAACCTTTAACCTGGGATCCTGATTCTAGGTTGAGGGTTGTTTTTAGTAGTTCCTATTGCTGACAGATGGTGGAATGAGGTACGAAAGGTCATCCTGTGTATAGGTACCAGAATGTGCAAATGCCTGGAGGTGAGGCTGAGCTGGTTCAGGGAAATCTAGGTCTCCTTTCTTTCTTGTGGGAACTGGGAGCAACAGGACAGGATTCAGGTTTGGAATGGCTCTGAAAAATTGGCCATCTATTCTGTAGGTGATAGGAGCAATGGGAGGTTTAGAGAAGAAGATGGAGGTTATGTGACACTGGTCTCACCAGGCTCCCCTTTAACCATAGCACAGAGGATACTCTGTGGGTTGTGAGGGAGGCAATAAGAAAACTGGGGAGGAGGCTACGACAATAGTTTAGGTGAATGTTGATAGTGGCTGGACCCGTGGGGTGGCTGTGGAGGTGGAAGAAGTTGGATTCTGGATCAGTTTTTTAATTAGGGCTACCTGAATTTTCAGATTTTGGGGGGAAGACAGGGAAAAGTAGTAGTCAAGCATTACTCCAGGCTTTTTAGGTTTAGCACTTGGAAGCGCTAGAATGTAAAGTTGGTAGTATGGTTAATTTTCACTGGGTATAGCGGAAGTTTTGTTTTTAGCTGTTTTTCTAGTCTGAGATATTTCAAGCACAGTTAAAGAGACATCAAGTGGATAGCTGGGCACATAGTCTGGAATTCTGGGGAGTAGTTTAAGATGGAGAAATCCAAAAGGTGGTAGCTAGTGTTTGACACAGGGTATAGTTGTGGGTCACAATTAGGAGTGGGAATCTTGGTCATGAAAGTAATGCTGTTCACAGCCCAGGAAAGGAAAAGTGGGAGCTATCGCCGGGTCTCATGACTGGACACCTGGGTAGAGGTAGAGAGCATCATAAACAGTTGTGGGAGAGCAGTGGCCATGGGAAAGGTGTAGGAAAGAGGATAATGTAGCAGGTGATCACGGTTTCCAGTGCCTTAGGGATATAAGACAGACGTGGAGACATAGGAATAATTGGTAGAAGGTGACACTGAGACCAGGTGTGATGAACTGTATCCCTGCAAAATTCATATGCTTAAACCCTAATTCCAGTGTGATGGTATCTGAAAGTGGAACCTTTGGGAGGTAATCAGGTCATGAAGGTGGAGCCCTCACAATGAGATTAGTGAATGACGTTAAAGGAAGAGGCCAGAGAACTAATCAGTGCTCTTTCCACCATATGAGGATACAAGAAGTCAGTAGTCTGCAACCTGGAAGAGAGCCCTACCAGAACCTGAGCATGCTGACACTCTGATCTTGTACTTCCAGCCTCCGGATCTGTGAGAAATAATTTTCTGCTGTTGATTAGCCACCCAGCTTATGGTATTTTGTTATAGCAACATAAACTAAGACACCAGGACTAATGCTTACTCATCATGCTACAGGCTCACCAGGATGTTGCGTGGGGTGGGGAGGGGTGAGCAGGGGGAGATGTGGGTTTTGGTAAAGTGGGCGGATAGGTTAAGGAGCACAAGTATTCATCTGTATGAGTCACTGGGTCTGGGGTGGAGAGCCACTGAGGCCACTGATTTTAAATGACAGTTAAGAGGTGAGAGAAAGGCTGTGACTGGGGAGAGGACATCAAGTGCAGCACAAGAGGGCCATGGGCCCAGGTGATTCTTGGTGGCTGAGGTCGAGGCAAGGAATAGTCAGGCAGGGGAGGCTTCAGAGCAGGATGAGGGCTGTCTCTGACAGTAGGACCATCAGAGGTTTGGCTAGCATTGAACTCTGTCTGAGTTTGCCAAACACTTTCTGCATGCCATGTGCTAAGTAACATGTAGGAAGACCAAGAAGATGCCTGTGGTGTGGGGGCAGTTGGGTAGAGGAGGCTGTGAGAGCGTGGTCCAAAGAGTGATGTGCACATGGAAAGTGAGTGTGAATTGATGGACTCAGGCTCCTGGCATTGAGGACATTAGGGTGAAAGATGAACCCATATTTGGTTGTGTCCCTCACCATCTGGAAGACTCCTGGGGAACTGCCTGACAAGAGGGGACATGACCCTACATGCTAGGCCCAAAGTTTAGATGGTATTTCCCTGCCCACCTGCCAGTTGGTGCTGGGGGAGCACACAGTGATCACTGGGACCATGAGAGAGTGGTGCACATCGGTGGCACCCGGGTCTGTATTTCCTCAGAGGCAGGCATGTGGGAAAGAGAGGGAGCAGGGGATGAATGAGTGGGTAGATGAACTTGATTGTGGAGTGACCTGTCCCTATCATGACAGGGCTATGTGACCTTTGAAGACGTCGCCATTTACTTCTCACAGGAAGAGTGGGGACTTCTCGATGAGACTCAGAGGCTCCTGTACCTTGAAGTGATGCTGAAGAACTTTGCACTTGTAGCGTCACTGGGTAAGGCCCTTGCACCAACCCGAGCATCCTGGTCTCTGTCTGTCTTCATTTCCCCAAGACAGCTTCACCCTTTCCATAGCCAGACCTTGGACTCTGTTGACTTAACCACTTACTTAGGATGTGTGCTGTGGGTGCCAGTACTGAGCTGTGTGTATTGCCCCAAGCATCCTTCTCCATCAGCAGCGCTAACACCTGCTGCTGTAGGTGGTCTGGCAGGCAGGTATCTTGCAGTCAGCTGAATGGATCTCCTCTTACTTGCCCTCTCTTGGCTGGGTGACTGTGTTCAGATTCATGACACCTTGTGTCCCAAGTTCCCCCACCTCTGCAAGCTGACATTTTCTTCTGGCTACCAGTGTCATGATTGCAGGCATTGTCATACTCTATACTTATGGGAACCGTGGGCTGTTCTTACCCACTCTTCCTTCTAGGTCTTTAATTTTCTTCCCTGTGGGCTGTTACTTGCCGAGTTGCTCTGTGTCAGTGCTGACTGATCACATGTTCTGTCTTTACTATAGGACTTGATTCACACAGGTCCCACGTACTTAAACAACTTAGGCTGTGGGGAGAAACCTGGTTCTTCATAGGGTGAATGTGGTTTCAGAGAAGGCCTGGGCAACTAGGGCAAGGCATGATATCGGGGCTATTTTCAAATCATGTAAGGAACCTTCCCTGTGTTTACACTATTCGAGTGCAGATACCACTGGCCAGACCTCATTCCTATATTTTCTTCCCCATACTTAATACTTTTCTGTCTTATCATTTTATCTATGACATCTGTGATCTGGCTACCTCCACCTCTCTGGCCTCCATGTGTCACCTGGTCCTCTGCAGTGTTTTCCAATATTGACACATAATGCCTCATGAAGTATGTATGTAATTATATGAACTTGAACATTTGCTATTCAGTTTCAATTGGATTGTGCTGGGCTGGGGCATAACCAACCTCTGCACAGCATGCAGGTGTCAGCAGAAGATAGGCTACTGCTGAAGACTGTGGTGAGTTGTAGGGATTTGGGGACTACTTAAGGAAAACTTTTGAGACTATTGGTAGAGGAATGATTTGGAGACATTGCCTCTCCTTGTGCTCCATCCCAGCCTTGTGTCCTTCATCTGGTGAGGCTTCTCCAATTCTGTGATCTTCAGAGGCCCAGTATTGCCAAGCAACCCCCTGCTCAACTTACCCCCAGCTCCCTTATCCTCAGAACAAACCCATAGGATCATTCTTTTGGTGTGTGTGTAATGAGGCTTCCCACTCAGCATAGTCAACATGCATTTCATCAGCCATTCTCTGGTTTCAGGTTGTGATCATGGAACAGAGGATGAAGAGACACCTTCTGAACAGAATGTTTCTGTAGGAGTGTCACAGTCTAAGACAGGTCTGTCCACTCAGAAGACTCAACCCTGTGAGATGTGTGTCCCAATCCTAAAAGATATTTTGCTTCTGTCTGATCTCCCTGGGCAGAAACCACACATGGTTGGAGCTTGTGCAAACCGTCACCAGCACCAGAAGCACTGTGCTGCAAAAAAGCCCTTAAAGAGGAACACGGACAAAGCCTCCTATGCGAAGCAGTGCCTGCTCCATGTGTCAGGGAAGCCCTTCCCCAGTTGGGAGGTTGGGAAGGACCTCCCAGCCACGTTGGAGCTTCTGAGGTCCCTGGCCTTTCCCAAAGGTGAGGAGCCCAGCAAGATCACTGAGTGTGGGGAAGACATTCACAGTCAAAAAAGTCATGACAAGTTGGGCAAATGTGGGAAAGCTTCCAGGCACAAACAGAGCTCTGTTCACCGCACAAGAGTCTACACTGGAAAAAAGCTTTATGAGTGTAGCAAATGTCGGAAAACCTTCCGTGGCAAGTACTCACTTGTTCAGCACCAGAGAGTCCACACTGGAGAAAGGCCTTGGGAGTGCAGCGAATGTGGCAAATTCTTTAGCCAGACCTCCCACCTCAATGACCACCGGAGAATCCACACTGGAGAAAGACCTTATGAGTGCAGTGAATGTGGAAAATTTTTTAGACAAAACTCCAGCCTTGTTGACCATCAGAAAATTCACACTGGAGCAAGGCCTTACGAGTGTAGCCAGTGTGGTAAATCCTTTAGCCAAAAAGCCACCCTTGTTAAACACCAAAGAGTTCACACTGGAGAAAGGCCTTACAAATGTGGTGAATGTGGGAATTCGTTTAGTCAAAGTGCCATTCTTAATCAACACCGAAGAATCCACACTGGAGCAAAGCCTTATGAGTGTGGCCAGTGTGGGAAATCCTTTAGCCAAAAAGCCACCCTCATTAAACACCAGAGAGTTCACACTGGGGAAAGGCCTTATAAGTGTGGTGAATGTGGGAAATCTTTTAGTCAGAGTTCCATCCTAATTCAACACCGGAGAATTCATACTGGAGCTAGGCCTTATGAGTGTGGCCAATGTGGAAAGTCCTTTAGCCAAAAGTCTGGCCTCATTCAACACCAGGTGGTTCACACTGGAGAAAGGCCTTATGAGTGTGATAAATGTGGGAATTCCTTTAGCCAGTGCTCCAGCCTGATTCACCACCAAAAATGTCACAACATGTAGAGGGCTCATCAGTGCAGCACATGTAGAAGAGCCTTTAACTCAAGGTCTAACATTGTTTAGCTCCTGAAACTCCACACTTGTGAAAGGCTTTAGACCTGCAGGGAATGTGCTGTCTCTTTAGTATTACAGCACTACAGAGCCTTTGTGTGGGAGCCATCTGCCTGAAATTCAGCCTCATATTTCCAAAACCTTCATAAGGATGAGGTTCCCCATGAGGTCCAGGTGTGTGTGAGGCTTACAGGAGCTGCTCTGCTTATTCTAAACTGCCCAAGGCCCTTGCCACAGTTAAATCACTGTCAGTTTCTCTGGTAGAAGCCGTCTCCCCTCTACCACCTTGCACAGTGGGCCTCGGTCACCCTGACATGCTAAGACATGGCAAGCTTCTGTGCTCATTCCCCAGAGGAAATCTTGAACAGTCTAAGCCTTGAGGGGGAATTCATTCTTTTTTCGGGCTGATTAAAGCCTACATCTGACCTAGTTTTGGCTGGTTGGATCCAGCCGGGGTTCTGCTAGAGGCTAATGTGGAAGGCTTCCCTTCATGGAAATTCTTGGTCTTACATGACGTTTGGTTATTTTTCCAGCCTCTGAGTCACCACCTGGTAACTGGCTGCCTCACATTGCTTTGCTTTGTGTGCTAATAAAGGCCTTATTGTTAAATCTACCTGTAATCTTGGGGGTTTGTTTACTGTAAGGAGTGGGTGGAAAAGAGATTCTGTATGAAGGAATGGACAGCTTTGGTGGGCATCTCAGCTTTGCGCGTCTCTGTAGGAAAAGTAAAATGATGGTAGTTCTTGTTCTGGTTTTGGTCAAATTTGCTTTGCTGCCCAAAATCTCTGAGGACAAAAATGCAAGGATTCTGTTGACCTAATTTGTGGCTTGGATCCTCGTACTTTCTGTGAGACTAGAGGTCATCCTAGGAGAGGTCAGTTACTCACGTGCAAGTTCCTGTGCACATGAGTAGGATGAAATTGTTTCATTGTTCCCAGAGGATGTCATATAATGCCCAGCACTGTCGAGAAGCTTTTCACGAGGTTATTCAAGGAGATGTGCCCTGATATCAATCATTCTGTAGGCTGATGTCACTCAGAAGACAATGAGAGTCAGGTGTGAACCATATTTGATACAAATACTGGGTGTGGAGGACCCTGCAGCAAACCAGATGGAATGTGCATCTCATAAAAGTGCATTCACAAATCTTCCAGTGACTGGCTGTGAGCAGTCACAGGACCTAGAAATCTATGTCCAGTAGCTGAGGTCACTGTCAGCTAAAATAATCTAAAGGTTTTGTGGATTCTTGACTCTCTGGGTTGTTCACTTCAAGTCCATTGCTGTGGAGGCAGGAAAATGAGGATAGAGATAATGGAGATTCTATAGGTTAGGAATGTAGCTTTTGTGATTCTGCCAGTGTTGCTATTGTGTCAAATTGCAACAGCCTTCATTGCCAATATTTTCTGCACTGATGGATGCCAACATTTTCTTGCCCTTCTCTAGAAATGAGGAAAGAGATAAGGCAGTCAACATGGGGTTGCCAAGGCTTCCGGTTTCCCAAAAGTGGGAAATCAGATATTTGAACCATGTTTTACAAACCTTCTTGATGTATAAGTAACAACAACAGTTTATATGTGTTTATGGTGTATAATTTAAGAATTTTGTCATTTAAACTCATGAAATCATCATAATCATGATCATAAACATATCCATGATTCACCTTGTGCCCTTCTGTAAACTCTGCCTGCACTTCCCCAGACTGCAAGCATCCAGTGATTTACTTTCATTCACAAGAGAATAATTTGTGTTTTTCTAGAATTTTATGTGAATGTAATCATAGAATGTTTACTCCTTTTTTTCCTGATGTTTTTAACACTGCATAATTATTTTGAGATTCATAAATATCGCTTAGGTGAATAGTTCATTCTTTTTATTGCTGAGTGTTCTATTCTGTGTATATCTCATAATTTGTTTATCTGTTCATTTCTTAATGGGCAGTTGGGTTGTTTCCAGTTTTGGGCTGTTACAAATAATGCTACTATGAACATAGGCATAGAATTCCTAATATGCATATATATGTTTTATTTCTCCTGTGCCAATGCTACAGTATATGTGAACTGCCAAACTGTGATCTAAACTGTGCCCATTTGCATTCCCACCAACAGTATGTGAGCCTTCTTGTTTCTCTACATTCTTGCCAATACTTGGTATTGTCAGTCTTTTTTTTTTTTTTTTTTTTTTTCACTGTGTTGCCCGGGCTAGAGTGCCGTGGCGTCATCCTAGCTCACAGCAACCTCAAACTCCTGGGCTCAAGCGATCCTCCTGCCTCAGCCTCCCAAGTAGCTGGGACTACAGGCATGCGCCACCATGCCCGGCTAATTTTTTCTATATATTTTTGGTTGTCCAATTAATTTCTTTCTAATTTTAGTAGAGACGGGGTCTCACTCTTGCTCAGGCTGGTTTCAAACTCCTGAGCTCAAACAATCCGCCCACCTCGGCCTCCCAGAGAGCTAGGATTACAGGCGTGAGCCACCGCGCCCGGCCTTTGTCAGTCTTTTTCATTTTAGTTGTTGTAATAGCTTTATAATGGCATCTCTCTGTGATTTTGATTACATTTTTCTGGTATGTTATTGAACATTTTTTCATGGGTTTACTTGCTACCTGTATATCTTCTTTGAAAAAATTGTTAATGTCTTTTGCCTATTTTTAAGTGGATGTTGGTGATATTTCACTTTTCGTTAATAAATAGAAAGACATGTATAACAAAGACATGTTGGAACTTATTCTTCAGTAATGTGATGCACTTCTTTGCTAAATGGAAAAATTGTTTTTGAAAACTGAGATATTCACAGTGTAACAGTCACGGCTACTATATATTTTAAGTGTTATCTTCATTATTTAACGTATTTTCCATCACCTTCTTAGGCCTAATAATTCAATAAAGTAAATAAGCCCTAGTTTTTAGTATTTGTCAATTTCCTTGTAAAATACTCCCACCATAGCCAATTCCAAGTTGTCAAAATGATGTCATTGAACATGAGTTGGGAAGAGATGAGCAGCAGCTCACCCTTGTATTTTCACTATACTGATACAATAGCCACAAATTTCCTAATGTATATGTAGGAAAACAGCTTGCTGCATGGTGAGAGTAATGCCATCTTTAACCAAAATACCACCATGATGACCCATGATCTGCACCAAGGTCCTTATAAACAATGCCTGTAGCATAGATAACCCCTCCCTCCCAAAGATGCTTATCTAACCTCTCCAATGGTCATGAGTCATGGCAAGAAAGCCTGAAGATGTGAGCGTTGCACATTTTACCCTGAAAGTTTGGTATATAGAGGATACTTTCTGGAGGACTGTTGCTCCATGAATTAATATAAACGTGTTTGCAGACAGGATTTGTCTTAGGAGTTTTGTAGAGCTTTGCCCTGAAGGAATATGTGAACGTGTTGGTTTTCATTTCAAATGCTGTTAAACTCGGAAGGGCGTCTCTGAAAGACAGTAGCGGCTGTATCCCACAAGGCGCCACATTTCTCAGACCTAAAGGTTTGGATTTGCTTTGTAAAGCAAAGCGAATCTGTTAAAAACTACAGGCTGAGAGCTGACAATGGAGTGCCCCCTGGAACAGACAGCTTCCTGAATGGCTAGAAGCAAAGCTCTTGTTTGAACACTCTAGACTACCTGTCTCCATTCACAATAACCTAATAAATATGGAGCCAACATATCTCTTTTTAAGCCCTTTGTTAAGTGATAAACTTACCTGAGAACTTAGAAGTTAACCTTTGAAAGATTTTGTAACCATTTGCTCTCATAGATAGAACTAGTTAAAGGATCTGTAGAAACCTTTCGAAAATCTGTTAACCTGAGAGGAACTACCTGCTGTTATGTAAATCTGTTACCCCTGGCAATTAATGACTATTCCCTATAAGTTACCATGTAAGACCTCATTCGGGGCTTTTTGAGACCCACGGAGAAGCTCTAGGCCCCCTGAGATCCCGCTTTGCCTATAATCTTCATAAACTTATAAAACTATATCTTTGTCTCTGTGCATTCTTTTATTTCTTTTATTTTCCATTTTTCTCTATTATTTTCTTATCCCTTGCAACTCTACCAAAAGGACCCGGTTTTTTGCTGGGAGCTTAGCTACCTCCCCACAGAGGACAAGTGCATGAATCCATCATCTTGTGGCTGCACAAGACATGGCTTCTGTTTGTTAGTCTATGAAATGTTTCTGAGAAACTGGATTTGTCAGCCTCTTTCTATGGCCTCTCAGCTCCGTTGGCCTTTGGGGATAAGTTTGCATATACCTGCTCATCACAGAACAATATATATGTAAGAGTAAAACAGTAAAATAATGAAGAAGTGACAATTTTTGAGTATTATCTGTGCTTTTTAAAGTAGCTTAAGTGAAGTAGTGCCTCACAATAAATCGTGCATATTTAAAACATACAGTTTCTGTTTTGATATATACTTAAGTCCCTAAATCAAAAGTTTCCACCTGCCCTTTACAATCCATTCCCTCTGAACATGAAATAGGTACAAGATACAAAGACATGTTCTGTCCCTTCAAATAGATGTTTTCAAATATGTGCACACATGGAAAGGACTGTGTTGGTAAGCCCAGTGAACCCTTCCTCAATCTTCCATCATTATTGATCATTTCGTGCCTGTTCTTATTTTAACTATTCCCATACACATTTCTGGATTGTTTTATTTACAATTTGCACCTCTTGTCATTCAATGCTGCATCTCTTCCTAACATAAGAGCTCTCTTACATAGTCTTTATCACTTTATCAAACAAAATATTTAAGACTTCATAAAATATATTGCCAATGTTCAGTTTTCTCAATTGTCTTCATAATCTGTTTGTTCTTTAAGACATTCATTGTAATCAGATTTATATGTTATTTTCTAATCAAAGTGGTTGAAAGAACTTTAAAGTGAAGAGGAAATTATCTCCACTTTATACTCCCTGGGTATTCTCTGGGTTCAGAAGGCACGTGAAGAGTTCAAAAACAGAAACAAGTTCAAAATGCTTGGAGTAGAGCGGGTAGTGGGGCGAATGGCAAGGAATGAAACGGGGAATAGAGGCTCCTTGGAACAAGTGTCGTGAAATTTTAAAATTTCACATTTTCTGATGCCTCAACATTCCCGTAAACAGGCTGTGAGCACCATGCCCGGGTGACCACATGCACCAGTGTGATAAAGTTGCTTTCTGCCACAAGTTCCCCTTCTTGCCCTCCCCTTACTATGACCTGGTGACATTTAAACCACCAGTAAAATATCCCCACACCTTTTGCTTGTATACTCCACACTGACCAGCAATAGAGGCACTTGCCAATGGGCCCATCCACTATTTAGGCTTCAAACCACTTGATTAAGTCTTCTCCCTGGAAACTCCAATCATATGGTCCCCTCTATGGTGTGCTGTGCCTCCTTTTTCCAGGACTTGTGAGCACAATAAATCCTTTAATTTCACATCCTTCTCTGAGTCTGCTTTCTGAAGGTATGTTGCAATGATCCTTAAAGAATTCACAAAAGGCACTTACTTTCCCATTTACAAAACAGTGCAAATATTGGTGGATTCAATCATGATCCAAGCGTGTCAGAGGAGGGGCAAAAGTTTTCAGAAAATTGAATTAGAAGTGAAATAATCAGCATTGCTTGTGATTAGAAGATAATGAATATTCAATTAAAATAGATTTCTTTCGGGCCGGGCGAGGTGGCTCACGCCTGTAATCCTAGCACTCTGGGAGGCCGAGGTGGGCGGATTGTTTGAGCTCAGGAGTTCGAGACCAGCCTGAGCAAGAGCGAGACCCT